AATAATACATTTACTAAATACATTTTTTTTACATGATGAGAATGAGATATTTGCTTAATTGTCATGAAGATAATGTCTGCATGAAAATTCTAGTTGTAGTAGTAATAAAGTGAACTAAATAAAAAGGGTTTATTGACTCTAAACAAAGGTAATAAGGTATAATAACTTATTTCTTTGATTTCACTGTATTTCTTTTCCCAGACATGCTGTTGACAGCTGTCATGACTCTTTCTCTCTCTGCGAGTCAAAATGATTGCCATGTATTGACATGCTAGTTGTAACATGGTTGCCTTGGTGTTTGATGCATTGACATGGTTTAAGTGATGTTGTTGCCTGTAGCGATGGAAGCTTGCTTGAGGAAATGTGTGTGTGTGTGTGTGCGCATGTGTGCTCAGCCAGTGAAAAACCTGTAGCCTGTAGTTGCTAAATCATCTGTGCTGACATGCTCTAATATATGTTTACTCTTATCAGCTACACACACATTTCGATTCATTCATAATTCTCTGCATAAAGGCAGGCCACAACAACTCTTGCCCCACCACCTTAGAGGTCAAATAGCAAACGGTTTAATTCGAGTTTGAGGTTGTTGCTAGTTTGGACTTTATCTGACAACTTGAAAATTGCTCTTAATACACCTGTTTTCTCGTTCTTAATGATACATTTCACTGAGGAGACAAAACATGTTTCTTATCTGCTAAACGCACAGACTTAAAGTCAGTGTGAAATGCCATTTACATTACTTACGTAATGTGATCAATTTCAGAGGGAAGCTGCATATTCAAAGATAAAATATGAGATGGATCCTTCTGGAATTGATGAGATGATGAAAGGTTTCTATGACAGGTGTTGGGACAGGATGACATGTGTCGCTCGCCAGCGTAGAATATTTCAGCCCAGGATGTGCTAAATAAAATAGTATTATCTAAAAAACATCACTGTCAGTCTCTAAAAACTAGTGCACATAACTTTATTGAATGTACATTTTTAAAACTACTAAATGTTTTGTAAGAAAAAAAAATATAATATTGAGAATATTTTTGTTTAACTAATAATAATCTTTCATCATATTTTAGTGAAGTACACTTGTTTTGATGTGTTGACTAACATGCTAAAGCATGCCAAGTAGTTGATTATATTTTTATAATTTGTTGTTATCATAATAATATAATATTATCATTTTAAATGTGTAATTACATGTCTTTTAGTTTACTATAAATGCTTATATTAATAAGCTCGACAGTACAATTTGATTATAATTTGAAGTACCCGATGCGATATTATCTTTAAAGTTAATATATTTTGAAATCCAACCTTTTTATTTATTTTTTTATTTTTTTATTTAAATAGATATATTTTAGTGTGATGTGATTATCACCACTGAACTGCAGGTACAACAGAAATTATACAATTTAAATATACATTTAATAAAATAAAATCAAAATAACTATAATACATGTTCATGTTATCGCAATTAACAATTAAGTGTTGCAATAAAGTTTCCAAAAAACATCACTTACAGTTCACAATTAAAGGTGCAATAGGCTTGTGTATGACATCACAGCTTGTGGGCGGGGCCTCGTCTCAAGTTCCTTTTCATGTTGAATTTGTGTAGTGTGATTTTGAGCTGTTGAGCTATACAGACACGGCTCTAAAAATAATCTCATTGCAGTCTTTCAGTCTCTAATCACTTTGCTACCCACTGGTTTGAAACAACCCTCCCTCACACACGTGTGTGTGTGTGTGTGTGTTATAGAAATGACCTTGTCTCACACTTACATGATTTCTCTTGGACAGTGAAACCCAGCTGGTACCCATGGCAGCAGAGTGGTGTCCATGGCAACTTGCTGGTCCTCGCTATGGTGACCTTTGATTTTAGGGGTCTTCTGACACCTTATGTCAATAAGCTCCGCCCATATTGCCTCATCCCAACATGAGCACATTAATGAATGAAGCAGAAATAGAAGCTCAGTTCCACAATCTGGGTGCCTGTCTAGTGGAAAATGAAGCAGTCAGTAACGTTAACATTATTTTGTATAAAAAAATAACTTTAAATGTAATGAGCATAGCTTAAGCTAGTCTATCTGTCTAGGTGCAAGATATCTTCACTCCCGTCCCGAACATTTCTTCACGCTCAAACATGCAGCACTACAGCAATTGAAACAATTATTAAAAAGATTGTAATGAATTTTAATGTTTGACGTTAGGCTAACGCATGAATCAATGCGATTCATTTCAAAACATTGATGCGACAGACACAAGTCGCATCTGATATACAAATGGGTTTACAAGTGGGGACCATAGATTTGTCTAATATTTCACTGCATTTGTAATAGCCAACATATAGTGAAATTAGCCAACATCTGAAAAACATTGAGTAGCAAGATCAGTATGGTTTAGCCCAAGGTTTCCACTCCATTTTTAATGTCTTAAGAGGGAATCTGCAGTAATATTCAGGTAATTTCGCATATCGCATATTCAGGTTCTTATGTGTGTAGTTAGCCTATATAAAATGGAGAGTGGCGTCAGCATTAGGAATATCTGTACCCCCCCGAAGGATTTATAAAAGAGTTACTCTCTAGCTGTCTTTTTTCTTTTTTTGACTGTTTGGATGGTAATCTGGTTAATCCTGTTTTATCAAAATAAAGGATTATAGAACAGATCATGCATAGTTGCACATATACACACGTTTAACCATTGTGTGTGTGTGCATGTGTCCGTGTGTGTGATCTGGCATATGTGATTACAACGTTAAGGTGGTTGTCCTTCCCCTGTCCTCCTCTGTCCTTCCTGTGTCCTCGTAAACCAAAACATACTGAACGATGGTTTTATTTTTATTTTTTATAAGATTTGCATTTTATATAATTACAATGTAAAATAATTGAATATTTTATATTTGAATATATTGTAAAATGTATTTCCCCCCTGTGATGCATACTAAATTTTAAAGGGGACATATCATGCTAAATTTACTTTTTTCATAATTTTGTTGTATATTTTGAGTGTTTATAAGTACAGAAAAGTTGAAATTATTCTCTTCAGGTGCTTCGTTAATATCTTTATATTCTGTTTTGGTCATGTTTTTCAACCTGTTTCAATTTTTCTGTTCTCTATGACGTTTTTTGAACAATTGCGTCACGGTATTTGCAGCGGAACTGACAAATAAAGACATTGACTACCGGCCCAACACTTCGAGCAATCCGCCATTATTATTTCTCACTCCGATTTTGTAGTCCAAGCTCAATGATGCAGAAGTTACGAGAGGGCAAGTCAAAATGTTCGGTTGTTGGATGTAGTGACCTGAAGCACTTCAAGGATTCCAACTTCAACAACCTCCGCCATTATAAAGAAGGGTTTGCCGATCGACTTCGACTGAAAGAGGGGTAAATTCCTTCTATCTTTGGAGACGACGAACAGAGCATTTCGATAATAAAAATAAAGTACTTTACTTTCTTAAAACAAATGGTGGTCATGGTTTAGCAGTACGTTTGTCTTTCTTTGTTTTTGTTTTGAAGTAACGTTACACGTCTGCAGTATTATTGTTCTTGAGTTCCATCAATGGTCATTTAGCTTCTGATGCTTTTCTAAACGTATCATATTATCAATACAGATTTTTAGTGGTAAGATTACACCATAGTCATTTATCTTGTCAGTGTGCTTGTTTTAACAAGAGAAATAATTGACTTTCACTTATAACACAATATGGTTAACGATACATTGCATTACATCTACATGAAGACGTTGTTCTGCAGGTTCGTCGTCGTATTTTTCAACTCGCTTGCTCTGGATCGCACATGTAAGGCTTGAAGGACAAGTCTTCCGTTGTTGACATTTTGTTAAAGTGTGAATAAAAATGTTCTTTGACTCTATATAAACATTATCTCTAATCAAACTACAAAAATGGCCGAACGGGGTGGAGTTGAACCGACCGTGAACTCAGCGACCTGAAGAGCGGGCGGGCTATGACACATCTCCTTTTTATTTAAAGAGGCCGCACCAAAACGAGTTGCTCACAGACGCACATCAGAAAAGGCGTAGAAAAGGGGCCTGTGGAGCTATAATAATGAGGAATTCAGACAGTTTCGCTTTATATAGATCTCAAATTTATGATTTATTTTTAAAAAGGAATGATTTAAAAGCATGATATGTACCCTTTAAGTCTTCAGTGTCACGTGATCCTTCAGAAATCATCTTAATATCATCCTAATTGCTGCTCAACAAACATTTCCTATGTTGAAAACAGTAGTTCTGCTTCGTTGTGTGGAAACTGATACTGATACACGGATACATTTAGGATTGTTTGATGAACAGAAGGTTAAGAATAGCATTTAATTGAAATAGAAACAGGTTGAAAACAGAGGTTTTGTGAGATTTCTCTTGCTTCTAAGCTATTTGTCCTTAAACTTTAGTTAAGTAAACTTCACATACACTTTAACAGATTGATTTATGTGATGATTTATGTGATTAATGATGTGACATGTCAGTGTGTGTCTCTCTGTTTGATTTCATTGCTGAATTCTCTTTTATAATTCAATGTTTTATTCATTTACAGTACTCCTTCCTTAGACACACGCATAATCGCACACACACACACTATAATTTGAGTTTTTCTTTCTCCACAGGACACTGCTGAATGATTTGCTTGTACGCAAATATGTTTTTTTTTCCTTGTGTTTTGTCGGGTGCAGACAATACGAATTCTGAGACAAATCTGAGGAAAATGTTGGGAATCTTGCTTGAGTCTGACACTGTCAATCGTGACAGAGATGTGTATCATAGAGTCTGACAGTCTGATGTCACACAACCTGACAAGCAACAATCATAAAGGACGAGCACAAATCACACAGTTTGCACCGACTTTGTTGTAACACAAGAACGGATGCTTATGGTTTCTTTTATCATCAGATTGTTCTGGAAAAGAAGAAAAAGTTCAATCATTATTGTATTGCTCTGATATTCTCTCTTTGTCTCTTTGTTTTTTTCTCCTCCATGCCTAAAATTAGAGGTGGAACAGAAAGGTAAAGACGTGTTTTTTTCACCCCGTATAGCATCTGTATGTCGGTTCCCTCGCAACGTAACATTTTCTCATACATTTATTCATTACTAGAGAGATTATTTTTGACACTGGCTCGGTTACAGTGATATTTAAAATTCAAACTCACTGTGTGTTTGCTAATATTGGTTAACACTTTACATTAAGGTTCATTAGTTAACATTAACTAAGAATTAACAATACTTTTGTTAATCTGTGTTATTGTTGATTTCAACATTTACTAATAGTTTATTAAAATCTTGTTAACATTAGTTAATGCACTGTGAACTAACATGAACAAACAACGAACAGCTGGATTTGTATTAAGTAACATTAACAAAGATTAACAAAAACAGTAACAAATGGTTAGTTAATACATTAACTGTTGTTTAATTAATGAACCTTATTGTAAAGTGTTACCGTAATATTATATGTTATTGGAGGAAATGTTATGTATGTGGCGGAGATGGTGCTGTGGTGGGCTCATGTTTTCTCGTTGTGTTCACCTTCATTTCAGTACATTTGTGTTATAATGCTCTTCTGGTGCTGCTGAAAATGTAGAAAGAAAGAAAAAAAAAAACGTGTCATCATGTGACATTCATATTTTACAAAAGATTTTATTGGATGAAAATGAGTGGAACATTATGCTATGAATTAATGTGTTTTTAAAGAAGAGACATATTTTTTTTTTTTTTATATTTTTATTTTATAATTGATTTATTTTTATTTATTTATATGGTTTTTTTTGCACTAGCGTTATATCTATTTACAATAAAATACAATTTTTTTAGCTGCATTTATCAGGCATGCAAAAAAATCAATTAGGCAGACAGCATCAAGCTTGCAAACACATGCAAATGAGATAACACTTGAAATGATAGTAAATAGTAATAAACAAACAAACATACTCATTTACATAACTGAATAGAAACTAGAAATGATCAGCATGTTTAATTCATTAAATATTTATTTAGCTAAAAAAAATAATAATCATAACATACTTTGAAGGGACCTCTTGGGAAACTAGAGATGACTCGTTTTTGAAACCATTTAAAAGCAATTTAAATGAACAGTCCAAGGGAACTGATTCATTAAATTAATCAGACTTCTCAATATGACTTGAGAGAGAGGTTTCATTATTGCTTCAGATCTCGATAATGTGAGAAATCCATTGAAAAAAAGTATTATTACTGGAAAAGCTACACTGTTTTGATAAGTGCTGAGTTACTGTCACAACATTGAAAATGTGGTAAATCAGTTATTCAATTATTAGTACATTTGTATTAGTGAGGTGTCAAGCACAACAAAACACTGATGTTTATACTCAGTATAAAAATACAGATAAAGATGTAAAGTCCAATTAGGTCAAAAAAAATGTTCTTTGAAGAATTTGGTGTTGAATTCGCCTCTGCATTCAAACATGCTTAACGCGTACATTGAGCTTGTCTGTTCAGGCCTATACATATTATGTATTCTTTTTCATCTGCCAGGTAATTAGATCTTATAGCATCAGTGTATCGGCTAAGTGCTCGCAAACCCCCGTTAGCACTTTAACAGTAATGATATTCATAATCTAATTCCCATTTAAAACATCCAGTGAAGCCCAATCAATAACCCAGCCAATGAGCTGTCAGCATTTTAAATGACATCATTATGATGATAGTGCTGCTAACCTTCAGGGTGACACCATCAGATGAGAAACAGAACATAAGAACTGCTATAACACACACACACACACACACACTGAGTTATAGGTTTCCAGTGTAAATCTCAGGCAGTTTTGCATTTGGTCGGATTCAGTGTTTCACAACTGCTTCAGGGCTCAAAAATCAAGTGCCAACACTAAAAAAAAAGAAAAGAAAAAAGCCCTTAAAAACAAACTTATTAATATCACCATGAACTGCACATGCATGAAATATTCCAAAAATTAACTTGGCAGGCTGAATTGGAAATGTGACCATTTTTGTTTCCAAAGGCCTCTTGAATTTTGATCGTTTGGTGTTTTCAGCAGTTATTGAATCATCACACAAAACACTGGGTCATGATTATTTCTGTTGCACATCACACATGCCATCCCATGTTGGCATCTGTCAAATTTGACCAAATTCAACCAAGTGGCAGATGAATATGAACCAAAATATGAACCACACATACACACACTTCTTTTCAAATAAATTGGTATATCATTCACATTAAAGGCACACCATGTAAGATTTTGGAAGAAGAGAAATAAGCAGTTTTTACCAGGACCCCGATCGGTTTTATTCTGTAGAAACCATAAAAACACTCAAGACGCTTTAATATATCATGTTCTTTATTAGACAGGTGAGCAACTGTTTGGATACATTTATCGACAGAAAAATAATCGTTGTTATACAGCTCAACACAGTTAGTCTTTTTGTTTAAATCTTGTTTTCTTGATTTACTGCGAGTACCATATTTACCATTCCTAATATCGATCTAGCTCACTGCAGTGTGCAACAAGTGCCTCACATAGCAGCCGCCGAGCAAACGCTCGAACAGACTGAAATGTATCTAATATGATAAATCAGCGCTGCGTTACCCCATACACGCGTGACCGGCAGAAGCGGAAACCACTAGAGGTCACTAGAGAACAGTATAATAAAATAATTTTAAATAAAATACCTTAAAACTTCAAATAATAGCCTGGACTTTTATTTTCCCAAATCGTCGAACTGCACTGGCTTGTATTTGAGATAGGCGTCTATATGAGACAGGCCTGTATAATTTAGTATTGAGATGTTGTTCATTGAATGTAGGCCTAGAGTCTCTAATCTCTAAAAATCTCCAAATATCTCCAAATGCTCCACGTGAAACTGCGGTCTTACGACCTTTTACTATTGTGTCAATTGATTTTAATTAATGTGCGCAAGGGAGAATGCTAGACAGCGCTCGCGCAGGCGGGGCTCTCTCTCTCTCTCTCTCTCTCTCTCTCTCTCTCTCTCTCTCTCTCTCTCTCTCTCTCTCTCTCTGCTCGTTTTCATTCTATTCTACATCACCCAACAATCAAAAAAGGCTTTGGCGGGACAAAAATTTGCTTTGGCGGCCGCCCAAAAGCGGACGATCTGATGGGTTTTAGAAGATTAAAAACAACCCGAAACTAAAAAAAAAAACAGACCTGGCCTCTATTTGAGAGACCAGCCTTTATTTACCTAAACCTGCAGCCACACCAGGTGTGTAAAAGAGACAGGTGTCTATTTGGGGCTTGGCTATTATTTTAAGTTTTACGGTAAAAGGACAGCATAATAAAGGCTCCACTGCTCTTGAGCTGAGCGTTCGTGTTTGTTTCTCGTTCCAGCGCCCTCATTCCGCTCCAATGGCTTTCGTAAGAAACCTTTAATACAGAAGCGGTCATCCATGAATATGATTTCTGCCCTCCGTATTCTCCACCGGCTGTAGGGTTGAAAACAACAACTCCAATGATTCCGTGAAATCAAGGGGTCATCAAGCTACGCCTTTGCAACCCGGTCTCATCCCAAGACGTCATATAACTGACGTTTTGGGACGTCTTTTGACCATACGTCAATATTCGCCTTTTTAGGGCCCCCTTAAACGTCGGTAGATGAGGTTATGGGATCCTAACTCTACCCCAGACCTAAACCTAAAGGTAAAGCGTCAGTTGTATGACGGCCCGGGATCGCCATCTACCGACGTTTAAGGGGGCCCTAAAAAGGCGGATATTGACGTATGGTCAAAAGACGTCCCAAGACGTCAGTTATATGACTTTTTGGGATGAGTCTGTGTTAGCCTTTGTTTTGAATAAATTACCTCTAGTGGCTAAACTACCATAGTGCGTTGCAACATTCAATAAATCAACTAGCTTGTCACTACCATATTGTCTTAAATTTTTAAGTACAATCAACTTGGATGTTTAAGTCATTTCAACTTAAATTACATTAAACTAGCATTTAAAAATGAGTTGAATCTTGTATAACATTAAAAAATTGAAAATTGCTTAACTTATTTTGATGAGTTAAAGCAATCTAAAAACATATGATGTCATAACTTATTGATCATATAATTATTTACAGTGTGATGTCACACAAGTGGTGGAGTAATAACTTATTTGAATTAATCCGTTTGAAACCGAATTAATGCCAATTTGTAGCATTTTGCTATAAATTACGGACATGGCGTCTGAGGACTAATTCTCGTTTTCTTTTCAAATATTTATTCCCAGATTTTTTAACGTACTACACAAATGTGCATGCACACTTTTAAAAAACGGCGCTTGACAATCTCTTGACAAACTAAAATACGTTCAGTACATGACAATGTATTCTAAATAGAAGAAATAGATTGTACTAAATGTTAGCTTGATTATTTTGCTCAAGATAAAGATTTATTAAGTCCACATGTCAAGCAAACAAGAAACTATGTTTGTAACCACAGGTCGAGAGCTGTCGTCCCAATCCACACAACTTTGCGATGCTGTTTGCGAATTTTCGTTGGAACTAAGGTTTCGGGAAACACTGACTCGTTGAATTATTGATAACGAAAGAACTTGTGACCAGAGTTGGCTAACGATGCTTTAGTTCATCAGATAAGGAACTCTAATGGGTAGCTGGTCTGAGATCGGAGGTTCAGGATGACGCGGAGAAGAGAAATGAGCAGCAGAGATGAGCATTAAAACACTGAGCGACTCGGTTGATGGTGTATGTTCCTCTTGTCCTATACCTCCTTTCTTCTTCTCTTCCTCCTCATCTCTTTCTGATGTGTTCCTCTAGCCTACTCTGCCTGTATTTATATAAGCAATAGTTCACCAAATAATAAAGCCTCTTTTACTTCCCAAATGACTACAGAATTCAAGCACTGAGGGTTGTCAAGCTTCAAAAACAACACAACTTCATACAAGGGGGCCATATGAATTATACACATTATTGTACAAAAGCCAAACGGAAGCTTTGAAGAAGTAACGGACTGATATTCAAGTGTCTCAGCAGTTACTGCCGACTTAAATTTATG